GTCGCCTCCGCAGCAGAACTCTGAGGCTGGAGGGAATAATGAATTAATGCTGCTGCTGCTGCTGCTGCTGCTGTTGCTGCTGCTGCTCTGTCGCTGCTGCTGCAGCTGCTGCTGCTGCTGCTGCTGCTGCTGTGCGCTCTGAGAGTGAGATTTCGCGGTCCTCCTCCCCAGATGCTGCTGCTGCTGCTGCAGCCGCTGTTGCTGCTGCTGCTGCTGCTGTTGCTGCTTCCTTTGTCGCTTTTCAATTCAACTCGTAGCAGCCTTTTGCTGCTGCTGCTGCTGCTGCTGCTGCTGCAGTGCCCCAAAGAGCGCCAAGGGGGCCCCCGGGGAGCAGCAGAGAAGAGGAAAAAGGGGAGAAGGAAAAAGAAATAAAAAGAAAAGAATTAAAAAATAAAATAAAACAAAAAAATAAAAACAAAATAAAACAAAACAAAATAAAATAAATAGTCAATAAACAACTTAAAATCAATTCAGCTCATCTTCCCGACTTTTCCCAACTTTGAAATAAATCCATTTCTTCTTAAATACACTTTTCCGGGTCTTCTTCTCAAATTCCTAAACCCAAACAAACCCTAAAAGAAGGGGCCCTTAAGGGGGCCCCCAGGGGCCCCTAAAAGGGCTCTGAGGGGGCCCCCAAGGGGCCCTAGAGGGTACAGATTGGGGGGCCCCCAGGGGGGCCCCAAGAAAGAGTTCCCGGGGGCCTCACTGGGGCCTTGCGAGCAAATGCTGAGTGGAAAATGATTTAAAAATGATTTAAAATTAGAAATAAAAGAACTTTTTTGTTTAAATAAAAGAAATAAAATGTAAAATTCAACTTTGGAGTTAATTTTTGAGTTTGGCGATCCCGGGTGTACGTACAGCTGAGAGCCCGGACGCTGGGGTGTACACGCAGCTCTCCGGGTTTAAATGAAGCGGATTTGAATTCGAAAACAAAGAAGAAAATCATTTTTATTTTAATTTTAAAATTTAAAACAAAAACTAATTTTATTTTAATTTCAAAAATAGAAAAGTGAAATAAGTGGACGGACCGGGGATTGATCCCGGGACCTCCTGAATGCAAATCAGGCGTGATACCACTACACCATCCGCCCGTGACATGTTCGTGATTTTTAATTTTATTTTTCATTTAAAATTGAAAATAAATAATTAATTATTGCTTTTATTTCTTTTTAATCTTTTGTTTGCTTATTTGCTGCTGCTCTGTTGCTGCTGCTGTCGATAGAAAAGTGAAATAAGTGGACGGACCGGGGATTGATCCCGGGACCTCCTGAATGCAAATCAGGCGTGATACCACTACACCATCCGCCCGTGACATGTTCGTGATTTTTAATTTTATTTTTCATTTAAAATTGAAAATAAATAATTAATTATTGCTTTTATTTCTTTTTAATCTTTTGTTTGCTTATTTGCTGCTGCTCTGTTGCTGCTGCTGTCCATTTTTCGCTCTAATTGCTGCTGCCAGAGGCCTCCAGCGCAGCTGCCTGCTGCCTGTTGCTGCCGCGCTGCTGCAGCAGAGTGCTGCTGCTGCTGCAGCAGCTTTTGCTGCTGCTGGGGTTGCTGCTGCTGCTGCTGCTGCTGCTGCTGCGGCTGCTGTTGCTGCTCCCGCTGCTCTCGAGGCTGGCAGCAGGTCTGATTTCTAATTTAAAAATGCAAAATAAAGTTAAAGAGAATAACAGCAGCAAAAACAGTTTCCAAAAAAGCAGCAGCAAAAGAACAACAGCAGCAGCCTTTCCATTGGCTGGCCCCCAGGGGCCCTCCAATAAAAAGGCTGCTGCCCCTAGGGGCCCCTTACCATGAAGTGCCCTCCGGGGGCCCCCAAGGGGCCCCCAAGGGGCCCCCAGGGGGCCCCCCGGGGGCCCCCGGGGGGCCCCCAGGGGGCCCCTTCACGAGGGGCCCCTGCTGCTGCGAGGGGCCCCTTTGTGGGTACCTAATGCGCTAGAGGGGCCCCAACTGGGGCCTCGCACTTGGGGGCCCCTAGCTGGGGGCCCCCAAGTGTGGGGCCCCTCTTTGAGGGAAATTCTTTTCTTTATTATAATTTGGCAATAAAGATAAATCAATAAATGATTTAAAAGAAGGGAATTTAATGCCACAAATCGAATTGCAGCAGCAGGGGCCCCCAAGGGCAGCATCAACCGATCAATAAATGATTTAAAAGAAGGGAATTTAATGCCACAAATCGAATTGCAGCAGCAGGGGCCCCCAAGGGCAGCATCAACCCTTTGGGGCCCCCAGGGGGGCCCCCAGAGGGCCCCATAAAGGGTACAGGGGCCCCCAGGGAGCCCAAAAGCCCCCAAGAAGCCCCCAAAAGGGTCCTTAGGGGCCCCCAAGGGGCCCCCTGTGGGCCCTCTGGAGGGCCCCGGGGGGCCCCAAAGGGCCCCTCGAAGCCTCCTAGAGGCCCTCGAGGGGCCCCACAGGGGCCCCACAGGGGCCCCCCAAGACCCCCATGGGTTAAGGGGGCCCCCGGGGGGCCCCAAAAGGGTTAGGGGGGCCCCAAAGGGTTTTCGACAGCAAAAAGGAGAGACTCGGGTTTGCCCGGTAGGGTTTGCTGGCTGTGGCTTGCTGTGGAGCCTTTCAAAAGCCTGGAAACCTAAACCCTAAACCCTAAACCCTAAACCCTAAACCCTAAACCCTAGGCCTCCGGGTCACTTCGGTTCTTTGTAGTTTGAGTTGGCGCTGCTGTTTCCTCAGCTGCTTTCTGGGGCCATTGTGAACGTGGAGTGGCCAGTGTTACCTACAGGCCCGCCAAACCCTAAACCCTAAACCCTAAACCCTAAACCCTGAACCACAAACTGTGGGCGCGCTGCGCTGCTGCCGACTGCTGGGCTCGAGCATCTGCTGCAGCAGCTGCAGCAGGTGAACTGGCGAGACAAAACAAATGATTCTGCAAAAAGCAAAAAGTAAATGAAAAATAAATAAGTAATTAATGAATAGATGGAACAAATAGTCGGAAAACGGCGGAGGCGCGCCGGGTGTACAGACAGTTCGCGGTGTCTGCAGACGGCGCAGCGGCGCCGGTGTATGTACACCTCAGCCGATGGGGCGTCACTAGGGCTCAAAATGGCTCTTTTTGTTCGCAATAATATTTAAAAAGAATAAAATTAAATAAATAAAAAGAAATTGAACTTTATTTGAAGCATTTTCAAGCAGAAGCCTCCGCGCTGGCGCCGGGGGCCCCCGCGCAGACCCGAGAGCTGCCATTCCGGGGTTGCTGCAGCTGAGGGTTTATTCTTCCAATGTCTCTAAACCCTAAACCCTAAACCCTAAACCCTAGGGCGCCGCCTGCTGAATCCGAAACCCTAAACCCTCAGTTCTCTTCTTTTCAGGCGGAGGCGGCAGCGCCGCGGCTCGCAACTCGCATGCAGCGCCGGCCCTAAACCCTAAACCCTAAACCCTAAACCCTAAACCCTAGCAGCTTTGCCTGGCTCTGCGCGCGCCGCTTCTCGGGGCCTCCTGTGGTGCCGCTTTGCAGCCGCTGCCTGCGTCTGTCTCCGCAGCAGCAGCAATCTTGACTCGGACTCAAGCAGCAGCAGCAGCAGCAGCAGCAGCAGCAGCAGCAGCAGCAGCAGCAGCAAAGCCAATGCTGGACTACTGCTGCTGCTTCACCCGCGGGGGGGTTTTGCTGTGGGGCTTTTGCTTCTCTAAGGCGCCCCTGAAGTCCTTATGTCAGCTCATTGAGAATGTCCTCCTGGAGGTAAATTAATCCCCAGCTAGCTAGCTAGCTAGCTAGCCAGCTAGCTAGCTAGCTAGCTAGCTGGCTAGCTAGCTAGCTAGCCAATTGGCTAGCTAGGCGCCAGCTCCTGGTTGCAATCCCGAGGAGCTACTCGCCTGGAAACTGCCCCAGCTAGCTAGCTAGCTAGCTACCCTGGCTAGCTAGCTAGCTCGCTACCCTAGCTAGCTAGCTAGCTAGCTAGCTAGCTAGCTAGCTGAGCCAGCTGCCCAGCTGGCCCTTGGGGCCCCACAGGGGGCCCCTGGGTCCCCACCGCCGTGGCTGCAGTGTTTGCGTTTGCTTCTGCATGCTTCTTCTTTCTCTCGTGTCTGCTGCTGCTGCTGCTGCTGCTGCTGCTGCTGCTGCTGCTGCTTCTGCTTCTGCAGCAGCAGCAGCAGCAGCAACGCAGAGGCCCCGCTTGGGAGTGGAAGGCCCTGCGGATCGGCTGCGAGAGAGCCTCCCGCTGCTGCGTTTGCTGCTGCCGCCGCTGCTGCTGCTGCTGCTTCGCTGCTGCTGCATTTGCTGCTGCTGCTGCTGCTGCTGCTGTGCATGCAGGAGCGCGCTGGCAGCAGCAGCGCGAACTTCGGGGGTTTGTCTTTTCAGTGGGTTTGTTTAAACCCTTTGCAGCTTTTTTTTGCTGCTGCTTATTCGGGCCTTCGAAATGTGGCTCTCGTCGATTTGCTGCTGCAGCAAACTGCTGCTGCCTTCGCGCAGCACGTCCACGGCCTCAGCGACAGTAAGCAGCAGCAGCAGCAGCAGCAGCAGCAGCAGCAGCAGCAGCAGCAGCGGGTCTGGAAGGGGCCCCCGGGGCTTCGCAGGGGCCCCCAGGGGGCAGCAGAGGCGCAGCAGCAGCAAGTCCCTTAGGGGCCCCTTGGGGGCCCCCAAGGCTTGTCTCTCGCTCCTGGGCTGCTAGCTGCTTAGGGTTTAGGGTTTAGGGTTTAGGGTTTAGGGTTTGGGGTTTAGGGTTTAGGGTGATGGGGCGCTGTTCAGCGACAGCGACCCCGCGTCTGTCTGCAAAACCCCTCGATAGGGTTTAGGGTTTAGGGTTTGGGGCTTAGGGCTTAGGGTTTAGGGCGTGGCTGAGGGCTTAGGGTTTAGGGTTTAGGGTTTAGGGTTTAGGGTTTAGGGTTTAGGGTTTGGGGCGCAGTGCTGGACTACCCGCTGAAGGTGGGCGGCGGCCCCGACCCTTTTGACGAAACCTTTTTGCACATATTGGCTCGGGCGCAGCAGAAGCGGCAGGAGGCCCCCCCGCAGCAGCAGCAGCAGCAGCAGCAGCAGCAGCAGCAGCAGCAGCGGCAGCAGCACGGGAGAAACAGAGAGTCCAAGCAGGCCAAAAAGGCCAAAGACAAAGGGGGAAGCCCCAGTGAGACTTCCTGCTGCTGCTGCTGCTGCTGCTGCTGCTCTCGCTGCTGCTGCTGCTGCTGCTGGCGTATCTGCTGCTGCTGCTGCTGCTGTCAACGTATCTGCTGCTGCTGCTGCTGCTGGCATATCTGCTGCTGCTGCTGTCAACGTATCTGCTGCTGCTGGAGCTGCTGGAGTCGCCAGCTTATCTGTTGCTGCTGTTGCTGCTGTTGCTGCTAGCATATCTGTTGCTGCTGCTTCCAACATATCTGCTGCTGCTGCAGCTTTTGCCGGTGCAGCAGATGCAGCAAGCATGGAGTGCTGCTGCTTCCTTATCTGCTGCTGTTGCTGCGTCGCTGCCTGTGCTGCTGCTGCTGCTGCTGCAGAGGCTGCTGCTGCTGCTGGCTACTGGACCGAAAACAAAGTGACAAAGAAAAGCATGGAGGCCCTTGACTACAGGTGCTTTTGCTGCTGTTGCTGCTGCTGCAGTTGCTACCATTGCTGCTGCTGCTGCTGCTCTTGCTGCTCTTGCTGCTGCTGCAGAAGGGAGCAAAGGAATGAGTTCTCATTCGCTTTGCATCCTGTGACGCTCGCCGTGCTGCTGCTGCTGCTGCCGCTGCTGCTGCTGCTGCTGCCGCTGCTGCTGCTGCTGCTGCTGCTGCTGCTGCAGCAAGAAGACAGGGAACGGCGACGGGGCTGCGCATGCAATAGAGCGCAAAACATATGGTGCGTTCACCAGATAGGTTAGCAGCAGCAGCAGCAGCAGCAGCAGCAGATATGTTAGCAGCAGCAGCAACAGCAGATATGTTAGCAGCAGCAGCAGATATCTTAGCAACAGCCGCAGCAGCAGATATGTTAGCAGCAGCAGCAGCAGCAGCAGCAACAGATGTGTTAGCAGCAGCAGCAACAGACTGGGACTTTGAAAAGAAATCGAAGTTGCACCTGCCTCTTTTGCATTATAATTTCGATTTATATTTAATTGATTTTATTCGAATTTAATTAAATTTAAATAATTAAATTAAATTAAATTAAATTAAATTAAATTAATTTATCAGTTTTGCTGCGCTGCAGGTGCTGATTCGGACAGCCAGTCTTCTGAAGAGGAAACAGAAGCAGCAGCAGCAGCAGCAGCAGCAGCAGCAGCAGCAGAAGGCAGCTGGCTCAGCTTCTTGCCCAAATCGCTGCAGAAAATAGCAGGTCTTTCTTTTTATTTATTTTTATTTTTATTTTTATTTTTATTTTTGTTTTTATTTTTATATTTTAGTTTGTCTTTATTTGTCTCTTTTTCATTTCTTTTATTTCAACTTTTCTGTTTTTATTTCTCTTTTAATTTGTCCTTTTATTTCTCTCTCCATTTGCTCCGTTTGTTTCTTTATTTCTTCCTTTATTATTTTAATTTAATTTTATTTTAATTTTATTTAATTTTAATTTAATTTTATTTTTCATTTTTATTTATTTTATTTTTATTTTCATTTCGACGGGCTTGTGTGTGTGTTTGGGGTGTCTGTACACCTCAACGCTGGTGGCGTCGCGCGCGACTCAAAAGCCGAATTTTTTTGATTTTCAGTTTTAAATAAATTAAATTAAATATATTTAAATATTTATTTGTTTATTTTCTTTTATTTGTTCTTTTTTGTCCTCATAAAGGCAATAAAGTCCTGGACGAAAGCGACATCGAAGAAGTCCTTCCGTATTTCCGGCAGCACTTTTCCGGTGTGTACATACACCCCAATCCCTATTTTTTTTGCTTTTTCGTTTTTTTTTATTTTCTTTTTTATTTTTATATTTTTGCATTTTATTTCTTCCATTTTTTTCTTCTTTTGCCTCGTTTTGTCTCCATTTGTCTCTTTTTTTGCCTCTCTTTTTCTTGTTCTTTTAATATCCTCTTCGCCTCTGCGCGTCTTTTGGTAATTCTTTTTACTTTTATCTTTTCTTCTCTGCTGCTGTTTTGCTTCTGTCTTCTCTTTTTGCTGCTGCTCTTTTTAGAAACTTTATCTTCTTTTTTGTTTTTCTTTTCTTTATTCCTCCTTTTCTTCACTTCTCTGCATTTGTCTGTCCCCTCACATTTGCCTTCCCCCCAACATCCCCGCCCCCTGCTGCTGCTGCTGCTGCTGCTGCTGCTGCTGCTGCAGCAAAGAACGTGGCTGAAGAGGTCACGGATTTGCTGCTGCTGAGTGTCAAAAAAAACCTCTTGGGCACAAAAACCCCCACTCTGGTGTCTGTACACCAGACAGTCAAGAGGGCTGTCAAAGAGGCCATTGTGAAACTCCTCACCCCAAAAAGGTAACTCCGCACTTTGCATGCATGCATGCATGCAGAGTGCATGCATGCATGCATGCATGCAAAATGCATGCAGAGTGCATGCAGAATGTTACGCATGCATGCATGCATGCATGCATGCATGCACATGTGCCTCCTGCATGCGCCACTACGCGAGCCCAAAAAGCAAGCCA